GAAAGGGAAAGACAAGTAATAGATGGTTGCACAGGCTGCCCCAGCTGGAGGTAACGCCCCTGATTTGTATCCACTCCCACCATGGGAGGAGACGTCGTATGGGACAGCCCAAGGGGGTGGTTACAGGGGAGGCTATGGAGGTAACCGCTGGGGAGGAGCGTGTTGAGGAGGTCCATACGCAGGGGGAGGAGGAAGAGGCGGACGCAGATGGGGAAGAGGTTGTTTCCACTGTGGTATGGAGGGGCACCAGGTTAAGGAGTGTCCTGGTAAAGGAAGACAGGGGAGGGGTAGAGGTGTCCCACCCCAAGAGGCATGGGCTCCCAACGCACATGCTGCACCGCCCCCTGGAGGACAGTACCCCACACCGGAGGACTGGGGCTATGAGGCAGATGCCTCTCAGTGACACACCCCCGAGAGAGACCTGGACAGCAGGGCAGACCCCATGCTGTCACTCACGGTACTACAACAACAATTGCCGTTTCTCGTTGACACTGGGGCCACATCCTCCACCATACAGGCAGCGGGCTCGTCTGCTATGTCCAGAGATACCGTCAGCGTTGTGGGGTTCTCCGGGGTGTCACAGAAACTGCCTCTAACAGTCCTCCTACTGGTGAAAGTGGGAAATCGGACAGTGACTCATTCTTTTGTTGTTTCGCCTCAAGTTCCAGTGAATCTTATGGGAAGGGATCTTCTCATTAAGACGGGGGCTTCGATCTTGTGCAGCCCGGACGGACTAAGCGTCACCATGATGGATGGAACGGTTCTGCATTGCAATGACAATGGACAAACGAGTGGTCAGTGGGTGGTGCAGCCACTGCAGCAACAACAACAATATGCAGACATTTATTGGGGCCTCTTGAAGCCTGAGTGTTCCAGGGGTTATGACTCTTTACCAAGTGGAAGCCTTGGATAACTCTTCTTGATCCGTATGTTCCTTCTACAGATCCTCCTCATGTAACATTGTTTTATGATAGACAAGGGGATGAGTGCTATTGTGACGAATTCATGGAACGTTTAGGAAACACGGAATGGGAGGGGACGTTCCAAAACCTCTATGTGGGCCCGGAAGGGGTAACCTCAGCTGTCATCCTCTCCTCCGATCAATCGAAATGGTATTTGATGAATCAAGATGCAGCACCGCATGTGTCGTTGGCTCTGCATCCCAAACATCAGGCTAAAGACTTAGGTCTAATGACGAAACGGCCGATGCTGCTAGACGACTGGGTATGCACTCAACTGCCTGATGTTTGTTTTTCTCCCTCCCCTTGAAAGTACAGAATTACAGGGAAAGCAACTACCTCTGTCATTTTAACACACGAACAGGTGTCCAGAGACCACGGACGCAAAAAGACCGACCATCCCTGCACAGCAACCCTTCTTGAGAAACTTCCAGACTACCTCTGGTCAGAAGGTCTGACTGACGTAGGTTTTTGTAATGCATGTAAACCAGTGACGTTTGAAGTTCATGACGGTCCTCCCAAACCCCAATACCCTCACAAGCCGGCCGCAGCAGAAGGGATCAAAGAAACTATCAAGGGCCTCATTAAATCAGGTGTATTGGAGCCCTCACAGTCCGCCTGGAACACGGAACAGACAGCTACGTTATACTCGGCTACCATAAGGGTTCGCGCTTTCGCCAGGTATCTTTAACCAAGTGTTGAAACAAGCGTTAACAGGGTGCTCACTGCCAGAGGGCATGACATTGATCCAAAATGTGGACGACATCCTCCTCGCATCCACTTCAGCGGAATCCTGTTTGGAGGCAACAGACATCGTCCTACGCCGGTTGGCCGAAACAGGTTTTAAGGTCAGTAAGTCTAAGTTGCAGGTCGCCAGAAGACAGGTTTCATTTTTAGGTAGAATACTGTCGGGAAGCGGCTCAGGGCTCAGTATTCTCCATCATCCACGTCCACAAAACGTAAAAGAAATGCTTTCGTTTTTGGGCCTCACAGGGTTCAGTAGACAATTCATTCCGCGCTATTCAAATCTCACTCAAGTTCTGCGTGCAAAGGTGAACGAGAAAGGGATGCGAAATCTCACTGCTAATCTCGAATGGGACCGAGGGGCGGTGGAGGCGTTTATCAAGCTAAAAACGGAACTGGCACAGGCCGCGGACCTCCCAGTACCTGATTACAGCGCACCGTTTTACCTGGATGTTTCCGAAACAACAGGGGTTGTTAATGGGGTTTTGTTTCAGAAAAAGGGGGGTGGTAAAAGGAAGGTGCTTCTGTATAACAGTGTCATGTTGGATAACATGGAAAAACAACATCATGAATGCACACAACACGCAGCAGGGGTCGCAAAGCTTGTAATGAAAATAGCACACCACTGATTGGCAATTGTTCAGTGATGGCAGCTGCTTTAGACAATCCACAGATGGGGTTGCAGTCGGGATACGTGGTAGTCAGAAGCCATGGGGCAGTGACAGAGATTCTGGAAGCAGAAAGGATTCAGGGAAGTCAGTCAGCTCAAAGAGCTGAGGTACTCGCATTGATAAGAGCATTACAGCTGGCAGAAGGGAAGGCAGTAAACATCTATACTGACTCGGCGTATGCAGTAGGAGCAGCTCATGTTGAGCTGGGACAGTGGTTAAGAGCAGGTTTTCTGACGGCTGGAGGAAAACCGATTGAACAGGAACAAGAAAATAAAGATTTGGCGGCAGCCTTGGCTCTACCGAGCACCGTGGCTATTATTAAGTGCAAAGGACACGAGAACTCCAACAGTATGGTGGCCAAAGGAAACCAGGCAGCGGACCAAGCTGCAAAACAGGCTGCAGGTTACCAAAGTGGGCTTCAAATGGTAAGTGCAGAAGATGAGGGACAGTCGGGGCCACAACTTAATGAGGAACGAATTAAGGAAGCCCAAAGGGGGGTGTCTCCTCAGGAGAAAACGGTGTGGAAGCAAAGAGGGGCTACAGAGGTTGGAGGCCTCTGGAGGTCCCCTGATGGTCGCCCAGTAATGCCGCCGGGCATCAGAAACCAGTGTTTACAGGAGGCACATGGGATGGCTCATGTGGAGCTGAAACACGCGTTTGGTACAGTATATCATCCACAATCTCATGGCAAAGTAGAACACATGAACCAAAACTTGAAACAAAAATTGGCTAAAATCTGTGCACAGACAAATTTAACCTGGGTTCAAGCGCTCCCATTCGCATTGATGGCCAATAGAAGCTCAGTAAATCAAGGTACAGGTTTCAACCCGTATGAACTGACCAACGGGAGACAGTTCCCTGGATCCAGTGCTGGCCAGAAGCTTAGGCCCAACCCGGAAGCTCCACCAGGTGAGTATGCATGTCGTATAACGATCTACGAGCTCTTGTTTCAGATTTTGCGGACCAGGTGCGAGACAAAACAGGGGATCAGAACGCCCACAACCCATGCATGCATGGAGCATGGTGATCTGTGTCGACTGTCTACAACCAAGAAGACCAAGAATAAGTGTATAACTATCCTCTCCTCTGTTCTATCTTTCTCAATTCTCCGCATTAGTTTAGCAAAACAAAACAAGAACAAGACACAATCCCGTTATCGGCCTGGAAAGGAGGCAAGATGAGGTGGCTGATCCGGCAGACGTTCTCCAGCAGCTGGGGTGATCTCTGAAGAGATCAAAAGGGGGAATTGTGAGATGCATGTAGTGGTAAAATATGTTATAACATTGTTTTGTGCTAAAGCCGTGTCTCAAGTGTCCTGTATTTGACCCTGAAGTGCAAGGAGCAGCATGATACAAAATGTTGCTTTGCAGCTGCGCACTGAGAAGGGAGGACGGTTAACTCGATCTCGTAGAAGCTTCAAAACAAAGGACTCCTCTTCATGGCCTTGGTTCATATCTTATTCTGAGCTTTCGTTCCGGATCCACGTTTTTACTTTATGTCAATTAATAATGATTTGCAGCGGCCACTGAGGAGGATCTTGTGTGTGCGTGTGCTACCCTCAGCTTCACCTGGGTTCTTATCTCAACCTGCTTTGTAGCTTCTCGTAACTGGCACGGAGAATGTTCTTCACATGTGTATAAAAACTCAGCGTTTTCACTGCTCGGAGACGTCATTACGCCGAGCGCTGAGATACGTGCTGGTGTGTTGGACCTCCTGCCTATAGGCAATAGTTAGAGCCAGATATCTGTGGAGAATTGCTCATGTAATCTTTTTCTCTTCTAAATAAATGTTAACGTTTCAACTTTAACTGATCAATGTGCTGCGATTCTTCTCATCAACCAACTCGGGGGGATTGGAGATCCTGACAGTGTGAAGATATTGGAGATGTTCTACCAGTCTATTGTTGACAGTCCACCGTACTTCCCTCTTGCAAAGGAAGCAACATTGAAGCCGGAGACACCAAACAGATTTCACAAACTGTCCCTCTAGTTGGATGTTAAACTGCATTTCGTTGCCTCAGTACTTGTACCCTGTGCAATGACAATAAAGTTGAATCTAATCTAATCTAATCTAAACTGGTTAAGGGCGACAGGCTTCATCATTGGATTAAAACTGGACAGTTTGAAAAAGGTGGTGGAGAGGGGACACTGGAGAAAGGATAATTCATACCCAGATCAGCCTTTCCACCTGACATCCGAGCACTTTTCCCAACAGACACATACATTTCACAAGGACAGATACATGAGACTATTGCTGCCTACTGCAATAACAATCACTTCTGGTAACAACTGTAAGACCATCACTGTTTTTCTCGGTTAGATCTTTGCACTATTTTTAAGTTAGTTCTTTTAATTTATATTAAAATATAAATTTCTATAAATAAATAAATAAAAATAAAATCTTAATTTATATTAAAATAACTAACCTGTGTGTGTACGTATACACCATTAGTTAAATCTTTCCATCTACATATTCTAAATAGTGCTAAACTGCATTTGTATCGCTGACTGTTCACCGAATGTCATTTAGTAAACTCCGTTGACCAAAATGTTGAATTCAAGCGTGGCGAGGGAGGCTCCCCGTGAACGCGCACCGGAGGCTTGACGTCACGGAGGCGCCCTGGCTCTCCAGAGCCGCTGGTGCTGCTGGCGACATGATGGGAAAACCAGATAGTCTTCAACTGAGTGATTAACGTTACTGAGTTTTCCCTGCCGGACTTTTCGTACGACAAAATGATTCACTATCGACAGCGATTTGAGCTCCACCAGGCGACGGCAGAGGTAACTTAGTTTCTTTCGAGAGGTTTTCATAATGGGTTATTGTGTTAGCGAGAAAGAAAAAAGGAAATCGAGGTGCTGGTTAAGCACAGCGGCTGGATGGACCGGCCCGTGTCACGGCGAGGTAAACGTATGCGGGTTTTACCTTTTCTTTCCCTCGTATATCACCTGGACGATGGGAGAAAGCCCGCGGCTTCGAATGAAAAGCCGTCCCGTTCAGTTGCAGGGAAATACGGATGTATGTGTGTGTGTGTCTCGGCAGTGAACCCCGCACGGCGTCGTTGGAATCGTGCAAAAAATGCTTTAGTGCCATCGTTTTACAATGCATTTAATGTGTGTGTGTGTTGTTTTCTGACGGATCATCATTTCTATATGCATTTAGTCTGACGAGCAGAACGATTTTTCTTCCCCCCTCTGACAATGTCCACCATGGACGATCCCCGTTCCCCTCCCTAGCTAACGTTTCAATCCGTCAGCGCATCGCTGGAGGGGAAAAAAATAATATTTGTAGCTTCAAGATGTATTCCCCAATGTGACATACGCAACCCACCACGAATGACAAAGGGACGGCGATAATTTGCCGGATAACGCGGGGAGTTGGAGCCGTAAAACGTCAGCTCGTTAGCCGGTGTGTCGAGGTAACCGTTAGCCGCTAGCAAGGCCGCGGCTCAGCCGTTAAACCGTCAGCGCTGAGATTCGGTGAAAAGCCGAGGACGAAACGGAGCGTAAGCTGCTCTCCTGTGAGCAGAGCCGCCTGAAGTCTGTGGACGTCTCGTGTTTCCAGCACTCTGTTCGCCTCAAACGGTCCGTCGGGGCTGACCGGAGGCTCGCGAGCTATAATGGCGATATAGGGATTTAACGGGGAACACCTGGGACACGGCGGCTCCAAACCCACAGGCTGCAGATGCACACGTACGAATACACGTTCGCCATCTCTGTTTGTCTTATTCATTTAAAACTGATGCTTCATGTATATCTACCGACAGGCAATTTATAGGGAACAACTGTGTCTTCTTTGCAGATTGGTGTGTAAGTTGTGAAGAGGAAAGTCTGACAGAAGATTGTCCGTCACTCCCTGCGGCTCCAGTTGAAGCGGGATCACCACCACAAATTCACACAGTAACCAATCTATCAACGATACAAAGGTACTTGGGAGTTTTACTGCTGCCACCCTTCTCCTACGTAGCAGAAGATGTACGGTAGTGCCCGCTCGGTTGGCAGAGGGGATGCCAACCATAGTGGCGGCAGAGATGGAAGTGGTCCCGGCAATCAGGGATCCGGCCGTTCCCCTCGCCTACCCCGTTCTCCTCGAATGGGACACCGCCGCAGCAACAGCACCGGAGGCAGTGGAGGCGGTCCGGGAGGAGCGGGAGGCAAAACTCTCTCCATGGAGAACATCCAGTCCCTCAACGCGGCGTATGCCACCTCAGGACCAATGTACCTGAGCGACAACGAGGTGGCCATGGCCGACTACGTTCCCAAAAGTGGTGGGACGATGACGACCATGGGGAGACAGCGGGTGACGTACGGCTCAAGGGCCACCAACAGTGCAGTTGTGGCCGCCAGCACGCCCAACATCTCCACCTCAGTGCCTGGCAATGCTGCGCTGTCAGCCGGCATTCTGGCGGGCGATGCGCTAGCTTTTGGGGACCACCACATGTCCTCCACTGTGCCTCACTCTCTAAGGCAGGCCAGAGATAACACCATACTGGACCTGCAGACTCAACTCAAAGAGGTATTTTTTTTCCCCTCCATGTTTGCGTATATTCTCGGATTTCAAACGTTTGACAAGCGCTTGACTTGCTTGGTTCAGTGGGCTACATTCACAGTATTTATGTGATATTTGTTAAACCCTGCTTTCTCAGATTCTGCGTGAGAATGAGATGCTGCGGCGAGAGGTGGAAGTTAAGCAGAGCAAGCTCAGCTCTTCCATGAATTCTATCAAGACCTTCTGGAGCCCAGAATTAAAAAAAGAGCGAGCTCTTAGGAAAGACGAGGTTTCCAAGATCACCGTCTGGAAGGAGCAATACCGTGTGATTCAAGATGAGGCACAGGTGAGTGTTCGCTTGTGTTTCTTCGAATAGATGTTTTCATCATCAAGCCATTATTCTGAATTTAAATGGAGTCATCATCCAGGCTGTGTCAAACATGTCTGATGGGAAGAATGTCTTTCATCCAGTGTGTCGGCTTTAGAACTAAAGTGTGTTTCTCTGCTTTTTGGCCAGTGCCGTATAAGCTTGAGGCAAGTTTTCTAAGATCTAGGTAATCCTCTTCTATGCAGCTATATCATTGTGCTCAATAGATGAAAGAGGCTGTAAGTCGAATGGCTGCGTTAGCCTTTCTATATGTTTCAGAACTGGCTTGATGTGGTGAACTGAATGACAATTTAAAGAAAGCGCTCATTTAAATCGTTTTGTCTAGTCGTTAAAGCACTGGAGTAGATAAGAAACCAATGTAAGAATATTGTCATAGGTAGCGGTAATATATGAGCTGTTGTGACTCATTTTTGATTGAGTATTTTGATTATGTGGCTTTCCAAAAATAATAATTATTAGCCTCTTTGAAATGATCATAGTGGTACATTTAGTTCAAATAGCCGATAACCAGAAAAGGATATTCTGCGGTCTATAAATGGAAATCCATCATCTTCGGAATTCCCACTCTGCCCTTTTCTCATAGGTTGTCAAAAAAATGAAGCGTCTCGCGACTGGAAGTATTGTAGAGTTGCATGTGTGCAATTCATCCAAATAGCTCTATGTCTGCTGTCAGGTGTGGAAACCAAACACCTTTATATGTATTTGTCAATTTTCACATGTTTTCCTCCTTGTTAAATGGAGATGGTGGCGTTGTAAACTCTGAGCTACTCAGCAGTCTGTTAACCTACATACATGTATACATTTTATATGCACACATGTGCAAGAAACATCAGTGAATATAAATAGACACATGGTCTATTTTTGAACCCTTTAGTGGGATTTGTGCAAATAAAGTCTAATTATTGAAGATAAATCCTCATTGTTTCTCTGTAATTCTTAATGACTGGGCAGATGTGTATAATTTGCTGCTTTCCCTCCTGCTGAGTCACATAATCACACTGTGGACTAATTCCCAGTAATGCCTGAGTAACGCAGTACTAATCAGTGGGTGCTGTAATTTAAAGATGTCTGCTTTCATATGTCTCCGTGAACGACTGCACCTCCCACGCTGGCACACGGAAAACACGTACGCACTCGTAAGGCCTTCGGCTAATTACAGCTGCGATTGAACTGCATGCCCCGTTGCTTGTAGGTCCAACCGCACGTGGCTTGGTCTGCAGTTTAATGTTCATGTGTGTTATTTATGATTCTGGGCTCGCTAGGCTGAGATGTGTGCTGGGCACAGCTTTTCTAACATCTCTACCATAAAGCATGTTGTCTAGTCCAGCTATACAGTTGTATAACTAAGCACCCTTTTTAACATTTTTGAATGGACAATTTTGTGGTGTTTTGCGAGCTGTGGCTCTGTGCCATGTGCACGGTTTCCTTATGACTCAAGTGTTGTGAAGTGTTTGGAACACTTTGGTTGGTGCTTCACATCTTGTACTCTTTGTGCTGCCTCAAACGTCTGACTGTTATCTCTCCTCAGGCAACGGCAGTCGGAATGTGGGCGCCGGGGGGAAGGTGTGTGCAGCGGTGTGGTCGCAGCAGTGAGTCAGCCATAGTCATGGGGTGGAGAGCCTGATGGAAAGGGAGGGTTTAGTGATTGGGGAGGTGAGAGTATTGGAGGGAAGAGTTGGACCGAGAAGCAAGGTAGATGAAAAGTGTTTGTGTGAGGAGGAGGACGAGGAGGAGCAGAATAAAGATTGGCGTTTGAGGGACGAGGAGAGATGAGTAAGGGAGGGGGCGTCAGGAGGAACAGGACGGCGAGAGAAACGAAGGCAGACACTGACTTCTCTCTTTGTTCTTTCCTCTGAAAAGCGCTCACAGCTGGTTCAGACCAGAGTGTAACGCAGCCTTGTGTCAACGTCTCCCGGCAGCTCTGCCAAGTGTCCGTGGCGTCAGATGCCACAAACAATGCAATACTATACTGGGCTGATTGTGTTTCACCACTTGTATTTCTCTGGTCATGAAATGGAACACTGTCCCAACTGTTGGGGCTGCATCTGTCGGGGCACTGCAGGGTTTTCATGATTATGGGCTGACTTTTAATCTGCAGTAACACAATATTGTGCCACAATCAAGGGTGATTCTGAGCAGCCTTCGCGTTGTACAATGGTTCAATAAAAGTGAATTCACCTCGTACCCTTTTGTGATCAAATTGTAATTAAGTCCAAAAAACATAAGTACAGGAGGTTAATAAATGTGTGTGTGCGCTGCTTGTTCCCAGCATCTCCAGATGACTGTTCAGGCTCTTCAGGATGAGATGAGGATCCAGAGGGACCTGAACCAGCTGCTCCAGCAAGACCCCGCCATCCATGGGCGGGACCTGGTCCTCACATCTGAACCCACAGAGGAGAACTACCGGCGGCTACATGCGGAGCACGAGAGGCAGGCCAAAGAGCTCTTCCTCCTTAGAAAGACCTTAGAGGAGATGGAGTTACGGATCGACACGCAGAAGCAAACCCTGGGAGCCAGAGACGAGTCCATCAAGAAACTTTTGGAGATGCTGCAGAGCAAAGGTGGGTTTATACCTCTGTGGAGACGTTTCCAACCAATTTATCCTTTTTAAAGTATCAACGTCTTGGTTGAAATTCAAAGCCAATGCTGAACCGTGCCAAGAAGCAGTTCTTCTGTTTGCTGATAGATTGCGATAAACCATTTAAGTCAACAGGAAAAGCGGTAAACAATTTAAACTTCTAAATGCTTTTCATCTCAGGCTTTCAACTTTCACAACTGGGTTTCTGTGGTCCATAAACTACCCACTATGCGTGCTTTAACCCAAGCATGCTTCTGACACCAGGAATATGAGGGCTTCATGTAAAAGCTACTGTATATATGGGTGTCCCCCAAGATAATGTCACGTCGTGGTTGTTGGTGGCCAAAATATCCGCGATAATGCATTGACAAACCCATACAGGAAACTCAAGTAAAAATAACTAAAACCAAAATTGGGTTATTGGGTTTATGTTTACTGTTGCTTTTTGAATCCAGTGTTTTTTATATCTCATCCCCTGCTGAACAGATGAGTTGGCTGTTACAAAATAGATGTCTTTCCACTTACTTCCTCATGGTAACCGGGCCGTTTGTACATCCTTCTCAGGACAATCTGCCAAGGCATCAGAGGAGGACCAGGAGCGGACCAGGAGACTGGCTGATGCAGAGATGCACAGGCATCACCTTGAGAGTTTACTGGACCAGAGAGACCGAGAGGTCAACACACTGAGAGAGGTACTGGTGACCTAATACCACATTGGGTTGGTCTAGTTTGGGGTTTTTTCCCCTCTTATTTATCCTCCGATATGAAACTGCCCATAAATGTTTTGCACACACATGTATCATGTTTTTCTTCATCCGACTCAATACGATACGAGGGAACCTCCGAGTCCACAAAAACTAAGGCTCTGCAGACTGTCATCGACATGAAGGTGAGGCTTAGAAAAGAATAGTGAATATGATCTATGTTTGCGTTATCTCACATATTTTTCAATGCATGTTAACCCCTCTTCACCAATGCCCAGGATGCAAAAATCAATTCGATGGAGCAAGGACTGAGAGACACGGAAGAGGAGCTGCTGCTGATGAAATCCAATGGACTTCTGAGCTGCGAGGAGCGGCAGGAGGAGATGAAGCAGATGGAGGTCTACCGCAGCCACATGAAATTCATGAAGAACAAGGTCTATGAGACCTTTTGTTCTCCTAATCGGATGCTTTTCCGCTAGAAGTTTCTTTCCTTTCCTCATGTCTATTCACCTATTTTCAGATGGAGCAGGTGAAGCAGGACCTGTCCAGGAAGGACACCGAGCTGCTTGGTTTGCAGACCAAGCTGGAGACGCTCACCAACCAGTTCTCAGACAGTAAGCAGCACATCGAGGTCCTCAAGGAGTCACTCACTGCCAAGGAGCAGCGAGCCGCCATCCTACAGACTGAGGTACACCCTGGGCTCTTCTTTAAATTTGGCCAGCTCGCTTTGGAATGAGTGTAAAACAACAGCCCTCTTAAGAGAAAAGGCTTCCGACTGCTGATATAAGAGTCTGCAAAGAAGCAGTTACCGAATGTTTTGCTAGTTTCTCTGCTTTTGAGCACTTTTGAGTGCGTAGCGCAGTTCCAGCCAGTGACTGTTGTCGACCATTCCCTGTACCAGGTGGATGCCTTGCGCTTGCGCTTGGAGGAGAAGGAGTCGACTCTGAATAAGAAGAGCAAGCAGATTCAAGAAGTCTCAGAAGAGAAGGGCACACTCAAAGGGGAGATCCACGACCTCAAAGACATGCTGGAGGTCAAGGAGCGCAAAGTCAACGTGCTGCAGAAAAAGGTGATTTGGACTAAAAACAGACATCTGGTGTTCTTGGCATTTACCCCGTGCACTCATGGGGTCACAGCGCGTGTCCTGTGGCTGATGATCATTTTGTGTTCGCTCTGCAGATCGAGAACCTGCAGGAGCAGCTGAGGGACAAGGAGAAGCAGATGAGCAGCCTGAAAGAGAGAGTGAAGTCTTTGCAGGCAGACACCTCAAACACTGACACTGCCCTCACCACACTAGAGGAGTCTCTTGCAGAAAAGGTTGAGTTCATGTCTGCACCTGCCGAATTGTATGCATGTTCATTCTGTATATTAAACGCGTGTCCGTTTTCTCTGCCTCCTGCCAGGAGCGCATTATTGAGCGTCTAAAAGAGCAGCGAGACCGAGACGACCGGGAGAAGACGGAGGAGATTGACAGTAACAAAAAGGAACTGAAAGAGTTGAAGGAGAAACTGAGCCTCCTGCAGGGGGACCTGTCAGACAGAGAGGTGAGCAACACCAGCACAGGCAACAAAGGCACTTGCTTACTGTGTTTCTATTAATATTGTGAGACATTGTAGTCTGTTTTTGCTGTTCATCTTACTTTGCTATGAGTCATACATGTCTGTATTGGATCCAATGTATTTTCAGTCTCCTCAGTCCCATTCTCTTAGAGTTGGAGAAGGCTCATCTATGCTCTTGTGTGGGTGTGTTTGTGCAGACGTCTTTGTTGGACCTGAAGGAGCATGCATCATCCCTGGCATCCTCCGGTCTGAAGAAGGACTCCAAACTCAAGAGCATGGAGATCGCCTTTGAACAGAAAAGGGAGGAGTGCCTCAAAGTGGAGAATCAGCTTAAGAGGGTGAGATCCTAAAATAATGAAATCGGCAGCCATGTGCTGGCTCAGCGCTACACGGCGCTAGCTAATGATTTATTAATACGATTGTGATACCGTCTGTAATCTAAGCCTTGCGTACGGTAACTGTAGTGAAAACCCCTGTGTGTTTGGCTGACATCCCGTCCTGTTGTAAGGCTCAAAACGCAGCCCTGGAAGCTCAGGCCAACACCGAGCTGCCAGAGCGCATTAAGAACCTCCAACAGGAAGTTGCCCGCCATAAAGAGGATTCTGGGAAGGCGCAGGCTGAGGTGGACCGCCTGCTGGAGATCCTTCGGGAAATGGAGAATGAGAAGAATGACAAGGACAAAAAAATCAATGAGCTGGAGAGGTGGGTGGAAACATGCACATTTCGGGTGCTCACAAAAATGTTAAAGATAACTGTTTAAAGCAGGTCAACTCAAAAGATGTGGACTTTGCGCCAAGGCTCAAGCTTTGCCTGTGATACTAAATTAAATAGTCATAATGTGTCAGCAAATGTGCCGCTGGTCTGATTGTTTGCCCGTGACATGAACGTTTAACGCGAACAGAACATTTTCTTTGTTGTGACTTTGTTCCAGGAGTTATGAATGATTTGAGTCTTTTGTGTTTGTTGCGCCGCGCGCGGCGGCTCCCTCCAATGACATCGTGACACTCTGGAAATTGTTGCCCTCAGCCCATTAAATGGCGTCTTTAAATGTAATTTATCCATCTGCCATTGTCGCCTCTTAGCTGTATTGCTTTGAAAGCGGATATGGCAAATGTTAGCTTGTTATTAGTGGAGCTGTTATAAAGCTGGTCGGTACGGCTGTAGTAGTTGGTAGTTTATAATCCACCTTTTTGCAATTTCTGTGGCTGCGTACGTGGTGAGTGATGAAGTCTCATGACTTGTCTGTGAGCCCTAATGCTTCCTTCTCTTTTCCTTAACATTGACTCATCTCCCTGCTCTTTTCTTTCTATTTACCACTTTCTTGTCTTTACACCGGAATCTCTCACCCCTCCAGCTTCATTCACCGCTTTTCTCTTTCACCCCCCTCTCCCCTCCCTGATATTGACTCTTTGCAGGGCTGTCTAAAATCTTGCCAAAGCTATGGTTGTAAATGTTATCTCAGTATTCTGAAATGAGGAGGCTTTTCGATCTCTTCTAAACATTCCACATAGATAATCATAGCTGTGGCAAAAAGCTTTGTTTTGAATCAGACAAATTAATTTGGTGCTTATCTGCACTTTTACCACAATATTTCCTTTTTTTTACCTTTTTCACCTCACCTTTAAATACAAATTGTATTTACATGTAAATTGGGAACACGTGGAAATTATACATAAAATAACATTTCTACTTCTGCGTATGTTTGGGTGCAGGCAGACCAAGGACCAGTCAAAGAAGGTGGCGTCTCTGAAGCACAAGGAGCAGATAGAGAAGAAGCACAAGGAGCAGGTAGAAAAGAATAGGAATGCTCGACTCGTGGACGAGGCCAGGAAGAGGGAGGACAATATGTCAGAGAGCTCCCACCTGGTGAAGGTGCATGCTTGTGGTTCTCTCTCATGGACCTTTCATCAGAACGAAAGTTTACCAGCACCGGCTCACTAATTCAATTTCCAACGAGCTGTAATGGGACCTCTCTCTACTCCGGATGTGTAGGACACTCTACGTCAGAAGTCTGAGCGCATAGAGGAGCTGGAGGAGGCCCTGCGAGAGAGCGTTCAGATCACTGCGGAGCGAGAGATGGTGCTGGCACAGGAGGAGGCTGCCAGGTCACTCCAGGAGAAACAGGTACACAACTGCTTTTCAACAAACGCACAAGAAACCAGTCACAATCAATCCACTAGTTCACGCATGCAGCACACGCATCGTGTAAAACTCTACATAAATAACAAATGCTTTCATATACTGCAATTCTTCCTCCCTCGTCCTTGTGCTACCATGGTGGTGTTTCTCATCCTTTCTTCGCCTCCGTCCTCTCCTACGGTCTCTGTCTCTTTCTCAGTTCTTTTATCTTTTGCTTTTTTGTTTTCTCTTGTTCTCTCTCTGCTTCACACTGCCTCTCAGAAGCACTCACTCAAACCAATGCATGAGTCCCAGCTCGCCCACTTTAAGTGGTCTACGGTATGAGCCCAGAATGTGTGACCTCCAATCACTGAGCAACAGCCCTTGAAGGGTGGACACAATAACAGAAACACCTTTACAATCCATGCAATGACACCACGATCCTGCCATATATTCATTTGGAAAGTGTCCTTTTTGGGGAATTTGTGTTTGATGTCAGATTGCATTATTTTGCAAGGTGTTGCTGGTTTCAGCTGGTGTAATTGTCATGTTATTTTGTTTACCTGCTGTTTGTTTATGAAACATCCCAAACCTGATTAATTGGCTGTCTCACACGTCAAGTAGCCAATAGAATTTATCACATGGGAATGAACTTGATTATAATTAAAGCACGTATTAATAATAGTGGTACTTGTGCCCTTTTTTTTAAATGAATAACAGGTAAATGAAATGTTGTGCTGTAGTTTGATGGTATGTGTGCTAGTTGATCCCTAGTCCTTACCAAAAGCCCACATGATATGGACACACAAGGGTTCTTTGCTTGTGAAAAAACACTTTCCTTTCACTGATTTAAGTAATTGCTTTTACTCTATTCATGATTTGAATTGTGTGTGTGTTCCTAGATGGAGGAGCTGCTGGGGGCCATGGAGAAAGTGAAGCAGGAGCTGGAGTCCATGCAGGCCAAGCTGTCCTCCACCCAGCAGTCTCTTTGTGAGAAAGAGGCACACCTGTCAACGCTGCGAGCGGAGCGCAGGAAACACCTGGAGGAGGTGCTGGAGATGAAGTAAGAGTACACACACACATACACAGAAGGGTGCATTGGACTCTGGCGTATTGATTGCTGCCTTCATCTTGTAAAATGTCATCCTATTCCAGACTTGCCCAGCTGGCAGGATGATTTTCTGCAATAAATAATAAATGATAATTGAGCTTGTTACGCTTGTGGTTAAATGTCATGTTTGTCTCCTCCCCACCTAACAGGCAGGAGGCGCTGCTGGCCGCAATCAGCGAGAAGGACGCTAACATTGCCCTGCTGGAGTTGTCCTCTTCTAAGAAGAAGAAGACCCAGGATGAGGTGTCTCTGCTGAAAAGGGAGAAGGACAGATTGGTGCAGCAGCTCAAGCAGCAGGTGAGGAGGTGGCTGCTGGATATCCGTGGAGGGGAAAGCACGATTGAAATGTTCCAATAGTTCTGGGAGCCTCAGCGGGATTGCACACAGCCATGTTCATTGTTTTAACTCCTACACCTCTCACACAGAATATGTTGACGAGTGGGGAATAAAAGTCAGGACGAACAAAAAGCCGTGTCCAAAGTAAATGAAATGATTGGAAACTGTCTTTTTCAGTAACAATAGTTTTTGTTTCCATCAGGCACACCATTTACTTTAAGGTCGCATGAGGATTGTCACACTGAGAAGTAACTTTTCCAGGGAATGGAACGGACAAATGCTCAGTCTTTGAAGTTAATTGTCGCTCCCCCACCCCCGTCAGCTGCGGTGTTGTACATGCTGACACCGTGTCACCCTGTGATGTCTTGGTGGCCAATAGCCAGGCCTGCTTGTTTATGAGTGCCCCTTCCGCTGTGTTTCTATATTCTCACTGTTTCTATTTCACAGACTCAGAACAGAATGAAACTGATGGCAGATAACTATGAGGATGACCATCTGAAGACCGCTCCTGACCAGTCAAATCACAAGCCCTCTCCTGATCAGGTAGCTTACCCCTCCAAACGGTCCCCTTTCCATATCGCCCTCAGCTGCTTCTCTGAAATGTCCATGACATGGTAACAACATAATGTCTGTTGAGGAGAAGCCTGATCTGATGCCTTCAATCTAAAGGGAACAAAGATTTTTTTGCTTAACTTTTCTGTCCATATATACGTACACTAACCAAATGTTCCTTTGTAATGCTGCGATTGGCTCACCTCGTGGCTAACAGGATGATGAGGAGGGTATTTGGGCGTAGCCAACCTTTAGCCCTCCCCTCTCTCTGACTCTCTGTCTCAGCCATATTGTTCAGAAGGGTGAGCTCGTATGAAAAGTCCGACCTGTTGACCTCTTGCTCTGTGGCATGCTCACCCTGTCTTCCTTTCTTTTTGCCGTACGCCTTTCTTCTGTTCATGTTGATGGTGTTGATCATTGCCTGTGTTTTCTGTGAGAGCACGTCTCGCCACTCATCCGGTGTTCATTCGTTGCTTCTCAGTGGTTTGTGTGTTTCGGTTGAGCAATGCCCGTTTGCATGCCCAAGCTAAGAGGATGAGATATTTTATCCCTGGTCTGTTTCATTGTCTTAAACTAAAGCCTCTTTGCTTTCCATGTCACTGATGATTAGCTCCTTGGATATTGACCTCCACCAACAGGAGCTAACTAGTTTTAACTCGCCTAATATATATCATTTTGTAAATAGCTTTGTAAGGACATTAATATACTAGGCAATAGAAATCTAGAGAACAAAGCACCCAAGGTGCTTCGTATACACATGCATGCAGATGACCATATATATATTTCATGCTAGTGTGGTCTGGAGCTTTAGTCTTTCATTCTGTTCATGAATTCAACAAGAGCTTATGTGTATTACTATTTCTACATCCCCCTTTTTTCTTTTTATTTCCCACACTGCCTCTCACTCTTGTCCCTTTTCGTCCCCCCCGGGCAGATGATACCCCCTCTTCTGGCCCTGTCCCAGAACCGCAGTAAACTCAAGCTCTACATCGCCCACCTGACTGACCTCTGCCACGACCGTGACCCCGGCATCCTCAGCAAGCTCACGCCGCCCTCTCACTACCACCACAGCGACCCCGAAGACTGGGAGGAGGAGCTCCAGAAGATGAGTGTCCAACAGGTAGAGGAGGAACCGCGCTATTCATATCTGCATTGTCCTTTGTAGCTTCTGGAGGGTAGAAATGGCCGTTGTATTGGCACATCAAAGGCCCAGGAGAGCAGTTTAGTTTTTGAGCAGCTTGATTATAAATTTATGAGCATCTTTGAGATAATCGGGTAAGTTAATTTCTAATTTTTTTGTCATAGCTGATGAAACAACTCTAGGTTGTTGAATCTTTGAATAAAAAATTAATTTTGGAATTAAATGGGGTTACAATGCTGTTTTTTAATCTGCGTGGTGATGCAGTCCCTTTATCAATACTCTATTAGGGATTGGGCCTTATTAAGGGAGCTTCAATAAATGGATAATTTCCTTCATTTCAAAATGTATTTAGTAATTTTCCAGAAACCATTTTGAAAATCAAACCTGGGGGGGGGATTCAGATTTTTGTTCATTGACAGTGTGGTAAAAGAAACCGATTCATACTTTCATTCTCCAGTTGGAGAGCGAGCTGGAGGTGTGTGAGAAGGAGAGCGGCGAGCTGCAGGAGTACGCCAACTCTGTCCTGCAACAGATCGCTGATTACTGCCCCGATATCCTGGAGCAGGTTGTTAACGCCTTAGAGGAGTCATGCTGACCACGCCGACCTCGGACACAAACCGGCCGAGTCCTGCTCTCCATACGATCCACAGCCTACGGCCACTCAACAAGGCGTCTGGCAGGAGGAGAGTAAACACGTGAGATATATAACCCCGCCCAGCTTTGCTTCTTCGCTCCCCTCTTCTTCCCCGGAACATGCTTTTACAACCAACTCTTATGTGCTTTCCAAAGTGTGACCTTGTAAAAATTAGAATTGGGGACGGTCACTAAGGGTGTAGAAATATTGTCAAGTAGGGCACTTCAGAGTGGATTTCAGATCATACCAGGCAAAAGCTGTGGCAGATGGTGGCGTAAAAGTACGCACTTGATCACATTATCACTCATTATCAGCTCACTAGCAAGCACTTGTGAACTCACAAAATTCCGTTATTTTTTTGGGCTCGACGTAAACTTGGAGAGATCTCAGTCTGTCTGGGATTGGGTGGGTTGGGAGACAAAGGATACGAGATGAAAGAAGCAAACTCTTTATGCTCAAAGTCTTTGAGCATACTGCCATCCTTCGTCTCAGACGTCTTCATTCACAGCAGGAACTGCTCGATCAAGCACAGATACCTCACACACAGCGATCTCAGTATTTTAGCCCTTATATTACTCTTGCATACCTTTTTAATAGAAAAATAGGGGTAAATTTATTCCTCACATGGGGCAGGAAAGCACTTTTTGACTGGGGAGCTGCTACATCTAGAAGGGGGCCCGAGAGGTGCTCAGTTCAGTGGGTAAATAATGCAGCCGTGTTGATGCTTATTTGTATTGTAGTCCGTGGTCCCCTAACTAGAAGGTTGGACTCTAGTTGGAGACACAAACCCCGGTGGACGGACCTCCGAGCACTGAAGTGCTACATTTTAACCAAATATGAACGAAGCTTGCTCTCCAAGTTTCTATGGATCTGTCATTGTAGCGAGGACCAAGATGTAGGTACGTGTTACTGTGTAGTCTGTGGCTGGGCCACTGGCACGAAAGAGAGGGGGGGGGGGGGGGGGGGGGGGGGGGAATCTAGGCCTGACCTTTTGACACTGGTCAAATGTTAGCTTTTAAGTTACACAATGTACTCAAATACAAATATGAGAGCGAGAAAAGAAAAAGTTATTCTGAGACTCATTTACTTTTAGATAGTTTTGCACACAACGTCCACTTGTTTATGAGGTATGCAATGTTTCTTTTGAGAACGTTCTAGTGGCCTTGGAGCATGAACAGAGATCAGTACTGGACCTAATGCAGGGATCTTTTTTTTTTCTCCTCTGTTATGTTGGTGCTAAGGCATAATGTAGGATCCACTGATCATTCAGTCTCATCCAAAGTTTCTGTAGATGCTTCTTGAAGCCCACCTGATCTTTAGTTGGTCGATTGGATCACTGAAGAATACAAGCGATGCTTCTTGTATTTCCTGATGACTTACAAATGCAAGTGATGCCTCCCTTTATTTTATTTTTTTAATCTTCAGGGCTGAGGTTATTAATTACTAAATGCGTCTACATTTACAGGAAACAGGAAGTCACTTTTCAGCAGATTTAGACTTTTTAGATCAGTTTGTAAATAACATGATATTTAACACCTATAGTGACTGAATAAAGTTATTGAGTGAAAGGTGTTGTGCATTATTTGAAAAGAATATCTAAAGTTTAAAGCAGTGCAGTTTTGTCAAATTTTGTCGTCAGGACAAAGTGTGTGTGTGACAGTACTGCCATAACTCGAGCAAAGTCATGTTCTATAGAGATCTATATAAATACATATATAAAATGTTTACTGTATGGATATGCATTGAATGTTTGCACAGAATCTTAAAGAGCAAAATGACCGTTGAGTTGGTGTCTTCAGCAGAAACTGAGGAAAGTGTCAAAAAAATATTTCGTGTCAAAAATAGTGTGTGCACCATAAATGTTTTCGAACCGTGACTGTGTGCTGGGGGAGTAACTTCCTTGCATTTCCTTCTAATCAGCGTTTTAAATTTATTATCCTGAGATTCCAGTGTTTTTATTCCTACCTGTTTTGGTTTTTTTGGTTTGTGTCAAAAGCAGATTGTGCTTGATGGTTAGAAAAAATAAAGTCAACAATCCTGGACCTCCTGCTTTTGTAAGGGGAATATTATGAGGAAAAAAGCCTCATCTGTAGGTCTGACTCACTTCCTGTGTGTGGTTGGTGGATATGTGATTTTTTTTAAACTGAAAATAACCCCTGCTGGTTTTGGATGACGTCCGTTGGATTCTTGTATTTTGTCGGTCAAACTCTTTCAGCGGAAGCTAATTCTCTCATTTCAACCCCGCCGCCCTTCACCTCTGGATTCAAAGAAGCTTTCTCTAGTGTTTAATTCCTTCTGTTTTAACCGTTTGGTTTCAAAGACAAGCCATCACACTTGATTTTTCATTTGCAGCTGTTATAAAAATGTGAATTCATGTAGGGCTGCAACAACGAAGCCTCTATTGCATTTATTTACAAATGCCATTTTAAATTCATCTCATAGCACTTGGTTGTTTTTTAGCTGTATGCATTTACTTAACTTGCACTACAATGATGGTAATAATTTAATGAATATGTTCAAGTGAACATGAGGGTGTGTTTGTGTAGTATAGAGAACTAGTTCTGACGAATTTGAGGTTCTGTTTTAGAATAAAGGGTCGGAAATTAAAGCTTTTTAATGCCGTTTAAAAAAAAATCTGATTCATCGATTAATCGACCGATTAATCGATAATCAAAATAATCGTTAGTTGCAGCCCTAAATTAATGTTTTAAGTTAACATTTGTTGCATATGGTAGTTTTGGGTTTGATCACGTATATTATGGTAACCCACTCTTAAGTGGCGTTGGTGTAGTTATAGGGCATATTTATTGAGTATGTGTATTAAATTCAGATTATATACATGGACCACCGAGATCTCAAGTGTAGTTCAGCAGTGGCTTTTCATCAGAGTTCTGGGAAAGTTCTTCGTGCCAGCTACGATCAAAAGGAACCCAGAGAAGTTCTCCAATTGTACATGCGTTGCTCAAACATTACACAATGGTTTGTTAAAGATGTATGAGGTGGGAATTCCCTTTAGATGCAGTGGTTGATTTGGTGTTTACTGCTGTCAAATCATTGAGATGTTTTATCTTAATCACACAATTCAGTCTAGATTTGATGTAATAGTGATTTTAGAAGAAATCAAAGGCCATCGGACACAATAACCTTTGCAGTTGGTTTCCTAAACTGCATGAACAACAGATGTACAGTCGTAATTACAAATCAAATAGTTGGTAATGCCGTTACAAATTCTACAAGCAAACACAAAACTGAAACATATTTGCCATCTTTATTCATAAATATCACTACTGTATGAATATAAAACAATCTTAAATTACTGCTCTTTTAAAAACAAATACTCTGGCGCTATCGTTTGAAGCTCCTCAGGAGACAGGCCGCTGATAAAACAGTTTTAAAGATATTGCATATCGCCATGGCAGCTGTCAATCACTACACCTTACTATAGCTGTGTGGATGAACCTTTGACAGAGTAGCATACTGGAACATCTGGTACATACTTATTTCCTCAGGAATATGAAACATAGCCAACTATACACGGGTCAACAAAGAACGACGCGAGTGATCCACCCACTTCAATTTGAAGTACAATTTTTTCACTCAATACAAAAAAAGAATTTTGGTTACACAAATAAAAAGATGCATGAGCCCAAAAAAACAACTTTCTATCAAAAATGTGACTCTTAAAGAGTTAAAATGCCTAAACCATTATCCTGCAATGAGATTTTTTTTAAAATATCTAAATCTCCATTGGTATGTGAGTCACAAAAATATGCACTGTAATTTAGTATTCAGTGATAGTAGGCACTCCTGTGTTTAATGGGTGAGGTAGCTGGATAGTAAGAACTGGACACAGGCTGCAAAGACGATGCACATCAGACGAGCGTGAGACGCAAACCAAGAGTGGAGTATTGCAGAGGAGGAGAACAATATTCCACCGATCAATGCGGAGTCCCCCCCCTCCCGCTCCTTGCTTTTAGTCACAGTATAGAAGGTAAGATTAAGAGTGGACACAGACAAGTCAATGAACGAGAGAGCCTTCACCTCACTCTCTCGCTCTCGGTCATCTGCCACAGTCCCAGGTTCAACACTTTAAGGCACGGCAGCTGCGTGATCCTCTCCAGACCCCTCTTAGTGATCTTTGTGCAACCGTACAGGTCGATGCCCGTCAGCTGGGTCAGGTGGTCCGCTATCAGCTCCAACCCTTTGTCCGTGATCCTCACGCACTGCCCGATGTTGAGGGTCTTGAGTTCATGCATCTGGCGCACCATCCTGTTGATGCCGTCGTCGCTGATGTGGCAGGAGCACAGCGACAGGGACTTGAGCTGATACAACCCCTGGGCGATGTAGGCCAGACTCTGGTCTCCAATCTTGTCACAGAAGGAGACGTCGAGCCCAGAGAGCCGCAGGGAGCCCATGGCCAGGTGCATTATGCCCGTGTCGCTGATGTTGTCGCACGACCGCAGGTTCAGGCTGCACAGGTGCGTCATGTGCGACAGGTGGATCATCCCTGCGTCCGATATCCCCCCGCAGAAGCTGAGGTTGAGCACTTTGAGCCTGTTCAGGCCCTTGGAGACGTGCTTCAGCGAGAGGTCGGTGAGCTTCTGGCAGTCCTGCAAAGTCAACTTCTCCAGGGACAGGCAGCCCTCTGCCGCACTGCGGGTCATGCCAGACAGGTGGCCGATGCCCACGTCGGACACGTGCCTGCAGCTGCGCAGGTTAAGGCTCTTGAGGCAGTGCAAGCCCCAGGCAACGAGCAACAGGCCGGTGTTCGTGATGTTGCTGCAGCCCCCGAGTTCCAGCACCTCCAGGTTTTTGAGGTACTGGGATATCCTGCCCAGGCTGGAGTCGGTGATCTGCTTGCAGAGGCTGAGGTTCAGCACCCGCAGGGACGGGATGTCCTGCACAAAGGCGTGACCGAGCCCGTTGTCCGTGAGGTTGAAGCAGCCGCACAGGTTAAGGCTCTCGATGTGCGGCATCCCCTGGATCACGTAGCTCAGACTTCGCCTCAGGCTGAGGATCTGAGCTTTTTTGATGCCCCTGGTCTGCAGGCTGGGGAACAGAGAGGGGTTCGCTCGCCGCAGGTGGAGCTTGGCTTCCACCCCCCTCCACACGGACTTGTGGTAGGACGCGTCTCTCCAGGCCGCGCACACTTGCGCTACTCTTCCTTTGTCTTTTACGTCCAGATAACTGAAAATAATGGCCAGGATCTCCGGGAATAGGCACGATATATGCGTCTCCATTTCAAACATGGCTGCGGGCTGACGGCTTTTAGTCGCAGCGGTCGGTCGGCGGCGACGATACTGTCGTTGTTGGCTCGCCGAAAACTCGCCTGCCGAAAGTTGCTGGCTGGCTCGGCGGCGTTAGCTAATGCCAGCTAGCATTCGATCGTGCTAACTTTAGCCAGTTAGCTCCGAGTGCGCCGTAACAAAAACCCACCCATCATCCACGCATAGTATCATCCAAGCATAGTATTATGATCAATAAAAAAAATCCACGCGATGTCCTCCCACGGCGCCGTTATTGTATCGACGAGCGGCCGCAGAAGCGGGGAACTCGTAATATTTACCCAGCGGGCTATGCTAACGCGGGCTATGCTAACGCTAGCTAGCCTCGGCGTAGCGCTTAGCCGCCTAAACTTGTGAAAACACGAACAACATCCCGGTTACGATCTGCCCCGCAGGCCACTTATCGGTCCCCGCGACGCGTCGCCGAGCGTGTCCGTTAACCCTTTTCCGTTCGGCGGAAACTTTCCTCCACAAAGCCGCTAGCTCGCGCCGAGGTACGTGCAGGGCGCCTTCACCTCCCGAGGCATCTCGAGCCGCGTCGGTCGGAGCATCCCGGACCGCCGCAGATGAATAAAAGCAGCACTTTTCGGGTTGTGGCGAGTTCAGCGGCTCCTAGTGGGAGTAACACGCACGGTTACTATCACGCTGCTACGGGATCCACCACAGCTTGAATAATGCAGCGGTGGCGGTATTTTTAAGGGCTTTATTCTTCTTTATTCACAACGAAATAATGAATGAAGGGGCGAGTCCATCCAAATATATGGATGCTGACACTGTTTGATTTTACGCGCAAACATACAGATGAGAAACCACCACATTCCGCTTTTTGCTGCCCTTCTGCTGCACTTGTTAATGTGTGCATGCGTAGATGTGTGTGTGTTAGTCTATATTTGTACACACGCATATTCCCCAACTACCCTGCATCCATTTAGCTGCACCTTCATATTCACAAAAATATACGGACACATTTTAATATTAGAATATATATATATATACATATATATATATATATATATATATATATATATATATATATATATATATATATATATATATATATATATATATTTTTTTTTGCTTTGCTATTTTACAGGAGCAAAGCACTGAAGAGCCATCAGCTGCTCATGTGGTTTCTTTAAACCTCAAATCTGGCCAGTTATGTGCAAATCAACCATTAAACAGTTAAGTCGACAAAATGTTCTTAGAAACAAATGCTCTCAAAAGAATAAATAAATCTATTCTTACGTTTTCGTCCTGCCGATCCTTGTTGGAATGCATTAAGCATTCCAAGTATTGTTCTACTATTCTTTATTGTTGGAATGCATTAAGCATTCTAAGTATTGTTCTTCTATTCTTTATTGTTGGAATGCATTAAGCATTCCAAGTATTGTTCTTCTATTCTTTATTTGTTGGAATGCATTAAGCATTCCAAGTACTGTTCTTCTATTCTTTATTGTTGGAATGCATTAAGCATTCCAAGTATTGTTCTTCTATTCTTTATTTCAACTTATTCTATTTCTTCCGTGGCACCTTTCAACTCCTACACACTTTCAGCTATTAAAACTGTTCAAATATTAAAATGTTCAGCTTCTTTCTGGCTTTAGGGCTATGGCGTTTCAGCTTTCTACCTCTTAAGCTTGAATTATATAAATCAATAATCATTATTATTTACCATGGTTTTCAAATGGAGTTTGTTTTCAAATCCTCTTAAACTTCTTCAACTTTCAGATTTTTCAGCTTTGCAAATCTTTCAGCTAC